GTGAGTAAACAAGTTACTCGTAGGAAATAGACATGTGTATAACCTAAAGTTTTGCAAGTCTTTATAAGTTGATATAAATCAATTCATGTGGTTCATGTCACTTAACGTCTATGTCCAAGGTGAGACTAAGGGATCATTCTAAGCTACAATATAACATCCACATCATAAACTACAATAAACAAGCAATTAAACAATATTGAAACTTCAAATACCAAGTAATGAAATATAAATTCACAAAGTAAACAACTTGGAATTGAAATGTGAAATCAAACAAGCAGAAGGACTAGGACATGCGATCATAAGACCGAGCAAGCTGTTTTGGGTAATTACAACCCTGAAAGAGCTACCTAGTACGCACTTGTGACTAAAAGAGACCGTGTCCTCGTACTTAAGCCGAACCCTAGCTATCACATAAACTTACGTCCCTGCAAGTGTTCCAAAATCAACAAATTGTGCACAACAAGTATAAACACATATACTAAATACCACACACAATCAAATTATGGGAACATATAAGATATGCTCTAAGTCCTTAACTACCATGGCACAGAACATAATAGGCCTTGAAAATATCAAAGGTGCAAATAAATCATAACTTAATTAAATGGAAACTAATTAAACAAAAATTAATTAATTTCTCTAGATTGTAAAATATTACCAAGTGACATGAAATTAACACATAATAAACAACATACCATAAATAACTCAAATAGCAAATCAAAAGTCTAATTAAGCCACTAAAACATCTAATTAAATTTTAATTAACTTAATTAATTAAAAATCTCTAGATCTCAAAAGTCATCCAAAAATTTCAAAAAATAATATATGATGAACTATAAGTCATAGGCTCTCCAAATATCATAATCTTAATTAAATCTAAGCATACGTCAACTATTAAATTAAATTATCATTTAATTAAAATAAAAACCATTTTATAGATCTAAACTTTAAACATACATGTAAGTTATAAAAACTTCAAAAACATGTAAAACATTAAGATTATAAACATGAAGCACCCCTTACCTCACTTTAAGATGAAATCTCAAATCCCACCAAAATCAAACTCCATAAAATGCAATGAAATTTAGGGGTTTTGACGGGGACAACAAGAAGAGCAAAAAATCCTCAAGAGACATGACTCAAATCCAAGCTTGAACTCCCAACCCAAAAGTGAAAGTGTTGCAAATCAAAAACCGATCGGATAAAAATCACTGCGTCGTCGAGGACATAAAAAAAAGTTTAAATCGCGAAGAGGTAACTCAAAAAGGAAGTAGATGAAAAGAGGAGAGAGAAGGAGGTAGCCTCCATGCTTCAACAATGGCAGCTAGGACTGCTTTTAGATAGATGAAAAAGTTAAAATGACTTTCTCTCTCATCCACCTACCCTAAATAGGTCAAAAAGGTGTCTCGAATAGTCTGAACGGACCCCGTCCGGGTCCAAAAAGTGAAATATGTGAAGCTGTGCTCAAATGCAGATGGTTCGTGAACAAAAAAGTTTTGAAATAGAATTCTAAGATCAATGGAGGAAACAGGTTCAAAAATTGAGTCCCGAGCGAAAAGATATGCCCCGGACAAATTTGACAACTAACGGGGGTCGAAAATTCAAAATAAATGAAATAAAAATTTGAAAAAATATTTCGGAAGTGCCAAATTCCATAAAAAGTGAAAATAAACCCATTATGAAGCTTTGAATCCAAAACGGGAAACTTTTTTGAAAACGTTACAAAATTACACAAATGCCCCCCCTACTGAATAACTGAAAAAGTGAATTTATCAGAAATCCCAAAATGAAGTGCCATTTAAAAGATACATTTAAAAGAACCTTAAATGCAAAATTTTATCAAAAGATAATTACGAAAAATACCCCAAGTAAAGAAAATAATTTTCAAGAATCTTTGCATTTATACTCATACGGACAAAAGTAAACATCTAACATGTTGTTCTACAAAAGTAAAAATGTGGATCATATGAAAATCAAGTAAAATGAATACATACAAGGCCGGAATCAAATTCGAGTAAGACCCGATAGGTTATGCAAAATGAAAGATTGTGAAAAAGTGACGGAAAAAGAAAACTCAAAAAAAGATATTAACGGAAAAAAATTCATCCGTAAAATTTGTGAAAATGAAAAGGAAGGAAAATGACTGAGTCGGTACGCTTTTTGTATGGATACTATTTTTGTGTAGCACAAAAAGTGATACTTGATTACATGGTTTGCAAAAATATTCATACATACATACATAAAAAGTGATCTATGTGTATAAAAAGGATGCCTCTATGTCCAAAATAAAATTAGTACTTAAAAATAATAAGAATAGTTTGGGTATATGGTCCATATTAACTATTTTGTCAATTTTATTTTATTAAAATATTAGTCTAACTTTAATTTCACCAAATTATAAATATGTCTTAATAACACTATATATTCAGTCCCTGATAAATATTGAAACGTAGAAGGGAAAGCTCAGGCCCGAGTTTTTAAAGCAGAAAGTTTTCTTTTTGTTATATATATATATATATATATATATATATAATTGTACGGAAACCATTACCTAATTAGTTTGACAATAGTTCACCAAAGGTGCAGCTGGCTCGGTAGATAACTTGAAGTCATTGACAGAAAACATAACTACTAGGGGTGAATATTAGGTGTAGGGCCCACATTATGTAAAGCACCAACCCTATTTGCCAAACCATTTTTAATGCCCACACGCAATGAGTAATATATGGAAAATAAATTTTGCAGCTAGTAGTTGCATTGAATTCCTGTACCTCATAGGCTATTTATGTACTCTCTGTTGAATATTAAATGTCCTCTTATATTAGCAGTCATTATCTCTTTTTAGATATCTCAAATTACTTGTTCATTTTAAAAAGTCCAAACAAATAAGTTTTATCTTTTTATCATTATTTTTTATATTTTTTAAAAATTTCAAACTTTATAACTGTACATGAAACTAAAAAAAATAAATTAATAATTTTACAAAAGGACGATGCATTAATTATATTCCCCTTAAAAATTTTAATTTTTAAACATAAACATTTAATACGAAACAGATGGAATATTATGTTTGCACCAAATAAATAAAAGTCAGCCTCTATTTTTATTCGTTGGTGTTCCAATCTGCTTTATATTTTCTCTTTTGATAAAAGTTCTTAAACTAAATCTCACTCTCTTTGGTAAATGTCTCATTTTTATGTCTCTTTCCGTTCGTGCATTGGCAAACGCGTAAAAGAAGTGGATTGGACAGGATTTTTGATCCCAAACATGCCCTGTAAAAATTTGGTCAATGTCATATTTTTACGTCATTTAAGATTTATTTGCACAAATATAAGGACTTCATAATATTTTAGTTAGTCCCTCAAAAAAAAATTTCTTTTAGAAAATTGTGACCCGTAAATTTGTGAATCATAATTTCTCAAAAAAATCATTCTTTTAAAAACAGATGCAAGTATAAATCAAAAAGTTCAATTTTAGTGATTAGCCTAAAAAATATTTTCGTTTACTAATTGCTCACTGAAATAAAAGTAAGAGAGAGGAATTGTGAATTCCAGCTTTTGGTGCTAGATCTTAGAAGTAAGTGAGAGATCTCATTTTCATTTGTTACTTACTATATTCATAATCCATTTGCTCTTAAGTAACAAAAATATGGTCAAAATTGTGAGGTCTATAGGTTCAACATTTTTGTTTTCCTTTCAACATTCTAGTAGCTCATTTGATGCTTAGTTAAAAAAATCTTACTTGTAAGAATATACATATAGGCGCGAGTGTGTATATATATTTCGCGAGTGCATGGGAAAACGTGTAAAAGAAGTTGGACTGGAGAGGCTTGATAAGCCATTTGTGGAAGAAATCACAAACCTGATCGATCCTTCGAAGCAGCTTTGTTTGAGGCTGAGCTTTGTTGGACTTCTATCATGCCATGTTATATATATATATATATATATATATATATATATATATATATATATAATTCAATTAATCTTTCATATCACATAATTGGAACTTACACTTAATGAATAATGAGGAAAAATATGTGAAAAAAAAAAAAAAAACCATAGAGAAGTTAAAAGTTAAAATAAGAATATGAATTTTTTTACAAATTATAGAGGAAAAAAAAACATAAATAAGAAGATGAGAGAAAAAAGAGGTAAGATAAAGATAGAAATATTTTAACCTTTATTAAATCTCGTTAGGGTTTAATAATAGATACAAATAAAATTTTTTAAAAAGTTATAATATAAGAAAAAAAAAATTGAGGCTTTTATATTAGCTGGAATAATAATAAAAAGGAAATAAAAATTTTAAAAAGAATATAATATGAAAAGAAAAAAAAAAATTTAAAATTTTTTTATTGACCGAGACTTTAGACAACTGCCTAAGTCACCTAAGTGCCCAGCTGCCAATGAATTTTATATATATAACACAGACACAGACACACACACACACACACAAAAAGGGCCAACTTGCAGCGGTGACATATCATACTCATATCACCAGCAAGCCTAAATGTGTGAATCCTGTTGTTGTGGTCTGACACTCCTTTTGTTTTCAAGTCCATATATTGTCTCCATTATTTGATACGTAATTTCCAACATATTTCTCATAATGAGGGGTTAGAGTAGTCTGAACTACCACGAAACATCATCTCCATGAACAATCTTCACCGGGGCTACTCACATCATCTTTGTGGGCCCACCATAATTGGTGGGCCTAAAGTAAATAATTACTACTTCTACATGAATCATGTGGGCCACACTTGTTGTGCAAGTTGAAGTTTGAGCAAGTCATTGGCACCCAATAAAGTAGACCACAACCAGACAACGACCAAACGTGGTTGACTCAGACTTCTAATACTCCAATTGTGCCTTGTAGCATGATTGAACTACTTCCAATACAACGACGACTAGCTAATCCGGAGGTCGAGGAGGAGGACGACAGCGAGACTGCGAGAAGGAGAGACATTCCACTCCTTTAGGATAGATTGAGTTGCAGAGCAATCTCGAAAGAACCATAAATTCAAAATTCAAAATTGTAGCGATTGTTGAGCAGATCTTGGCACAAACGACCTCTGCGACGACTTCTCTCCTCTGTAGATTCTCTCCTCTGCTTTTTCTCCTCTTGTTTTTACTTTATATTCCTCTCTCTCTATATATAGAGAGAGATATACTCCTATTGGATTCCGATACCATAAAATAGAATAGAATAGAAATTTAGAATTATTCCTTATAGCCAAACAAGAAATTAATACCAAAAAATTAGGTTCAAAGAAAATTCCTCAATTGCATGTATACAAATTCCGACTTTATTACTAAGTATATGATTCTGTTTTTTCTTTTTACCAATACAAATTCTGACATATATAATTAAGCAGGCTTGACATATATCGGATTCAGCATGAGTTCACATAAGAAACTCATAATCACCTGCATTTCCGCTTCTAATCTTCGAGTCAAGGGTGTTTCAGATATGCACGCGTACGCAAAAGGTTTTGTTTTGTTTTGTTTTGTTTTGTTTTTTTTTATTTATATAAACCATCAAAATCTGTATTATGTGGTACCATTCCAATACCCTGTACTCAATTTATCAGTACCATGGAAGCTCAACTTATTGGAGAGTGTGTCAATTATTTATATTCTCTCTCCAAACATAACATGCAGTTTCAGTAGGGAAACAAAAGAAGAAAACAACAACTGACAAGGAGGATGGAACAGACCCGGCCTGGGACAGACCCATGAGTTTCACCATTAAAAAGCGGGAGGTGGATCCAGGAGTGACGCCGGTTTTCATCAAGTTATACTCCAAACGTTGCTGCGGAAGGGACAAGTACATTGGTAAGGCGGAGACATCTGTGCATGAACTATTCAATGGCAAGGAGGAGAACGGCCACGGCAGGGACAGGTATGAATTAACGTTGAGAAAGAAGGATTCCGACACGGGAATGCTACATTTATCATGCACGTTTGAGGATATTAAAACTGTCTGCGGATGTTGCTGTTCCGGATGTTGCTGTTTGATGAGACTAGTTTGCTTAGCAGCAAATGCGATTTGCCACTTTAAATTTTGTTGTTTGCTTGTGTTATGTGTGTGAGTGAGAGAGGGATTTAATTTTGATAAAGATTTCACTACAATAATATTTGTGTTTTGTTACAAAATATTAGGTAGGAATTTATTTGTGTACCAAAAAGTAACCTATTTAGGAGGAAATACAAATGTGTAGAAAATATATATATAAATTAAGCTTTTCATACAAAATTTAAGTTTGTAAGGGGATCCTTTCCTTCTCTCGAGCAGGCGTGTCTGTGTTCGAGTCACTCTTTTTCCCTAATTTGTAAATTTTTAAAATAAGAAAAAAAAGTGTTGTTTGGATATCCAGAAAATTAATATATTAACTTGGAATAATTGAAACATGTTTTTTATCTTTTGTTTTTCCAAATAGTATTACTGTCAACGTCTTGCCCTGATCTATTGTGTTTTTGGCTGCTATTTGATTTGTTTGTATTATATGATCAAAAACTGAACATGTTCAAAATTAAATTGCGTTTTTCGTTACAACATGCTTAAGAAGGTATAAAGGTTATTAGATTAAATATATACGCTTTTGCTTGATGATCTGTTCACAACTTAAATCTCTTTTATGTACTTGAAAATTTTAGCTAACTAAACAGGTGAAGTGATCGATGGCCTAGGAGTATCCTCTTTCATATTTTATGGTAAAGCCAATCATTAGTATTTCCAGAGAATTCTGGAAATTCCTCTTAGTTTATCGAATAAGAATGACACAGACAAACAGTGTTGGTTATATACAAACGATGGTAATTTTAGTGTGAAATCAGCATACCAAGTTGCTTTGTCTCTTAAATATCTTGAGAGCACAAGTGTGATCCGAGACACAGTTGAAAGCAGTGCTAGACGTGAAATCAGCTACTCTGTGTTGGCAGATTTGGAAGGCTCAAAATGATTGGGTCTTTCAAAAACAACAATGGTGGAATACGAGTGATATATATATATATATATATATATATAGTCTCGAGAGCTGAGCATCAGTTTAGGGAATTTTCTGAAACAGGTTGAAGCCTTCTTCTAATCATCAATTGCATGCTGGTATATCTTAGGGTCAAGTCAGAGATCGAAAATGGAGTTTGCCTTTAAAGGGATTTTTGAAGGTTAATGTGGATGCTGCATACTGTTGGTCTTCTCATGAAGCTGGAGGGTGTGTTGGTGGTTAGAGATGAATGGGGTGCTGTTGAACGAGCAGCACAATTTTTCGTCTCTGCGGTCAAAGATCTTCAATTATCCATGCGGAAAGCTATTTTAACAGTCAAAAAAAAAAAAAAAAGCAATTTTAACAGTTTCGGAAGGGGTGTCAGTGTAATTTACTGAAAAAAAAAAAAAAAAAAAAATGTTACGATAGCTCCATTAAATAAATGTCAAGGAAAATTCCACTTTGCGACTTCCGAGTTGATGCATCAAAAACGCTCAATATGTAATTAATGTTGGAATTTTTTACGTAATTGCTTGATATACATGGTTTAGAGAACTGTATGTGTTAATTATGTGGTGATCTAAGCCGAATTTTTTAATTACAAAATTATTAATTTTACTGAACTTTTAAGTTTTTATTTTTTAGAATGCGTATAACATACTTACAACACCTGCATTATTTAAATTAGGAGTACGATTCAAAAGCGAAATCTCAATTGGGAGTACGATTCAAAAGCGAAATCTCAAGAACTTACTTTTCGAATTTCTGCAAACGCCACTATACCTGAAGGTTAGTGAACTTAAAGTTTGGTTCAAGTCTTTCACAACTTTTTCATTCTCTAAATTACAGCGGCTAGGCATGGATTTTTGTTCCAAACCCAAGGAGACAGCCATGGTCTAGTTTATGCAAGGGTTTCAATTGGTGGTGGCACGGAGCAGCAAAGTCCGGTGGACACCGAAAACGGGACCAACACACCCTCATTGCACCATGCTTGACATAAAAAAAAAAAAAAAAAAAACTTTGAATTAATTCTTCTTTCTATTCTATTTATTTATTTATTTTTATTATTTTTTTGAATGGTAAGTTCAAATGAATATAAAAACTATCCCATAAATGGGACAAAGTTACATGGCCTTTGGCCCAAAGAAACTTGTAGAGGCAGAGCCCATACAAACAGCCCAAACAATAATTACAGAGTATTTGTTCCACCAAGGAAACCAGTACTACATATCCCGGCGATAACGCATAGTAAAAACCCCCATTGAAGATTTTGTTCCGCAGTTCGTGGCCGCCGACATATTAATCCGGTGGCATGGGTGGAGGACGAATAAAATAACCAGGGAGCTCCCATTCAACTAAGATGCGCCTTACATTACCCGAATCTTTAACAGAGAAGCTTGAGAGCTTTTGCCTGACAGTTGTGAGTATGCGATTAAGCATGACATTTTCAGAGCTTGAAGAGCCTTTAAAGTATCTTCTATTCCGCTCAATCCAAATGCTATACACTAATGCTGCGAGACATAGTTTGCGAACTATATTCCTGGGATCACTTCTGTCCATCCAAATTTGGCCTGCCAAGTTGATGAAATCACTCCATGTAGGAGGCCGAGTGTAGAACGCACAACGCGTTTGTATAAATGACCAAAAGGGTGATATGAAGGAGCACTTAAAGAAAAGGTGATCATGTGATTCAGGCTGTGCTGAGTAGAGACTACATAGATTTGGTGTGTTCCAATGGGCTACTGGTTTCCTGTCATAAGTGGGCTGCTTGTGAAGGATAGCAACCCATAAGATGAAGTTGAGTTTGGGAATTCTATGTGAGGAGGAGGTGATATGGGTCCATGGGACTATGGTGAGTGGTGAGAGGGCTGTAATGGTTGTTGCTATAGAGAACTGTCTATTGGGAGATGGTAACCAAATGATGGAGTCATGTTGACTTGGTGAGGGCAGTGGTAGGTTAATGGGGTTGAGAAGCTGTGGAAATATGGTAGTGATAGCAGGAGGGAATGTCCATGATTATCCAGTGATAAAAGAGCTAACCTTAGTATCAAGATCTACATGAGTGTTTTGGATTTGGGCAGATGTGGCATGATGAAATAGAGGACCTAAAGAACACCAACTTTCAATATCTTGAAATTTGTATCGTGGCCATTACCAATTTCTACTTTGACAAAGGGTTTGAAGGCAAATCTTAGTAGCAGAATCTTGCGTGAGTTCTAAGAACATGGTTGTCGTACCTTGAGTGTCTAGATGCATTTGTCTTTGATCAAATGTACCCTAATCCATTGGGCCTAGAGAGAGGAGCAATTAGGAGAAAGGATGTAATGGTAGCTACTTTGTTCCAGGTTTCTAAGTGTGGAATTCCTAAGCCACCTGCAGAAATTGGCTTGCAAACATTTGACTAAGCCACTCTAGCACCCCCTCTTTTTGAGCTTTTGTTCAGACCATAAGAACTTTCCAAGAATGCAGTTGATCTTATCCAGTGTGCTGATAAGAATGATGAATTTGGTAGCTCAAAACATAAGCATATTACAAAGGACATATATAATTAGTTGGACTCTTCCTGTAAATGAAAGGAACTTACTTGTCCAACAACTGATCCTTCTAGTGATTTTTTCACTTAGCACCTTATAATCAACTGGTTTGAGCCTAGTGGCAGTGAGAGGAACTATAAGGTATCTAATTGGAAGCGTTCCCTTTTGAATCTCAAGAGTTGACAGAATTGTAGCTTCAAGAGCAGAGTTGACACCAGATAAGAAAATGTTACTCTTAGAATGGTTGATGGAAATTCCTGACAACAAACTGAACTAGTCAAGAGCACTTTTGATAACCTGCACTGAAATCATGTTAGCATGTGAAAAAATAAGTAGGTCATCAGCAAAAATTAGATGAGACAGAGCTGGGGCTTGGCATCTCCAATGATACTTGACGGTTGGGGTTGATGAGATGAAGGACTTAAGGATGGTAGAGAAGGCTTGCATTATTATGACAAAAAGAAATGGAGAGAGTGGGTCACCCTTTCTCAACTCTTTGACACCCTTGAAAAAACCATGGTATTACCCATTGAGAGAGATTGTATAAGAGGCAATAAAAAAGGAAGGGCCAAGAAATAGAATCGAATGCTTTTCTAAGATCAACTTTGATTGCACACCTAAGTGAACTGGAGTGTCTATGATAGCCTTGTTAAAGCTCTTGGGAGAGAAGGATGTAGTCATCAATTTTCCTACCCTTTACAAATGCTGACCGGGCTGGATCAATGATAAGGGGCAAGATAGGTTTTAACTTGTTGGCAAGGAGCTTGGCAATACATTTGCAAAGGGTGGTACAGCATGATATTGGCCTGTACTCGTTGAAGCATGAAGGGTTGGAAGACTTAGGCACAAGGGAAATGGAGCAACAATTGATTTACTTTAGTAACCTGCCTGAAATGAAGAAACTTTTGATTGCAAGTGTAACCTCCTGACCAACAATGTGCCAAGCTTGTTTGAAAAAGGAGGCATTGAAGCCATCTGGACTGGGGGCTGTATCAAAATGATATATAGTTTTCGTTGTCCCTCTCTTATTAGTAGTTATATTTTTTATTTTTTTATATTTTACATCTTACCTCACCTACTAAATGTTAGCAGATGATAGACCATTCTAAAATATCAGAGGAAGACACCCCATTGCGTCAACTTTACGTGGTCAAAACATTTGGTCTTTTTTACATCAAAATATATCTTTTAGGTTAATTGTATAAAATATACTGAACTATAAGAAATGTACGTGTATGTTACCTCTTGGATTTGGGATGTAATTACATGTAATTTTCAAGTTTTGTGCTACTAAAGTACTTGAGGATATGAATTAAATAATTTTCAAGATAGTTAGCTCGTTGACTTTATTTGCAAATCTTAATTAATAGTTCATGCAGGTGGTTAATTTTATTTATGGAGTAAGGTGCTGTAAATTAATTTTTACAGCTCAGATGAATTTTGTGCAATGAACACAAAAATAAATAAATAAAATTTCCATCAACTTATTCCATTAAATTTTTGAGTGAATGCATAGTACTCACTTAACCATGACCATTTATTTTTCCACTGCTCTCTTGTTAATTAATGTTGTAGCATTTTGAAGAACAAGAACAAGTTAACACGCTTCAACATTTTAAGTCTTAGTTTATATTCAAATCATAATCACATTATACTAATACGTAGTCGATTGTGATGGAGCGAAACAGTCGAATTTTCAATTCTATAATTTCTTTTTCTTTCATTGTCACCCAGCTCATTTTTAACGATACTAGGAGTAGACTCCTCTCCATCAAAGTCAAGCATATTGGAGCTACTTAAAAC